CAGTTTGGTTCCAGTGGCTTTGAACAAAGTAGACCAGAATTTGCTAAGAAACACCTTATCCCTATCCGAAACCACCACCAATGGAAACCCATGCAAACGAACCACCTCCCGGACAAACAACTTTTGCTGAATAAGGATGTGATAATGCCATAAAATGGGCATATTTTGTGAGTCGATCCACAACCACAAAGATGGTGTCAACCCCAAACGCCTTAGGTAACCCCCCAATGAAATCCATTGAAATTTCGGACCATACTTGACTTGGAACCGACAATGGTTGCAGCAGCCCTGCTGGGGACAAATTCTGAATCTTACTTTGTTGGCAAATAGTGCAAGTTGTAACATATTGCTGAATGGTCTTGCGCATTCCCTCCCAATAAACCACACTCAAAATTCTTTTATAAGTCCTCGAACATCCTGAATGTCCTCCAACATTGGAATCATGAAACTCATGCAAGATGACAGGTATAAACTTAGAAGTCTTAGATAAGACCAACTTATCTTTGTAAAACAACCTGCCCCCAACCAATTTAAAACCAGCATGTACTGTGGGATTCAAGAGCAGATCTTGTGTAATCCAGTGCAATTTAGGATCCTCCTGCACGTTTTTTACAACTTCATCCAATTGTGGTAATTGTACCTGAGAGATCATAAGACAGTGCGTGTTTCTAGATAAAGCATCTGCTACCACATTTTCTCTTCCAGGTTGATATTGAATTTCAAAGTCAAAACCCAATAATTTGGACACCCATCTCTGTTGTTCCTCCCCCAATACCTGCTGTTCCAGCAAGAACCGTAAGCTCTTTTGATCCGTTTTGACAACAAAGTGCCTACCCATCAAATAGGGACGCCACTTCTGCACGGCGAATACAATAGCCATCAGCTCCTTCTCATAAACCGATTTATTCAATGCTCTTTTGGAAAATCCCTGGCTGATGTAGGCCAATGGACGGTTATCCTGCATAAGGATGGCTCCAATTCCCTTGCCAGAAGCATCAGTCACTACCGTGAAAGTCTTCTCAAATTCCGGTAATGCCAGAATAGAAATATTGACCATAGCTTTCTGTTAGGGACCTATTTGCAAGGTATGGGACTTGGAGTCCCACATTGGTTGTATGGGCAACTAATGTGGAGTTTATAAGGCCTTGGGCACTCCCACCCTTTGAGCTAGCTTTTGGGGTGGTGCACCTCAAGGTTCTTATCAAATGGTATCAGAGCCTTCCACTATGTCTCCCGGTTGCAATCGAGCGGCGCGGGTTGTGACGTCGGCATTGCAGCGTTCGCCCGGGGCTAGTAAAAGACTAGCGCAAAGCCAGCCCGCGTGGTCGCCGGGACTGCGGAGCGTGGTGGAATGTTAGGGACCTATTTGCAAGGTATGGGACTTGGAGTCCCACATTGGTTGTATGGGCAACTAATGTGGAGTTTATAAGGCCTTGGGCACTCCCACTCTTTGAGCTAGCTTTTGGGGTGGTGCACGTCAAGGTTCTTATCACTTTCTTTAACAATTGAAACGTCACCTCGACTGTTTGATCCCACTTGAAAGCCTCCTTTTTAAGCAAATTAGTCAAAGGTTGAGCTACCTTACCATAATCTCTTACAAATTTCCGATAGTAGCCCGTGAGACCAAGAAAACCCCTCAGCTCCTTCACATTGGTAGGGCTCGGCCAATCCACCATAGCCTTAACTTTCTCCGGATCTGCACTAACCCCGTCTGCTGTGATGAAGTGGCCCAAGTATTCAATGCGGGTCTGCCCAAATCTACATTTTTTTTCTGTTAGCAAACAGTTCATGCTGTCGGAGAACAACAAACACTTTTGTAAGATGCGCAATGTGCTCTTCGGGACTTCTGCTGTACACTAAGATGTCATCAAAAAACACCAAAGTGAACTTCCTTAAAAAAGGTTTTAATACCTCATTCATGAGCGCGTTGAATGTAGAAGGGGCATTCGTCAAGCCCAAATGGCTTGACCAAATATTCATAATGGCCTTCGTGGGTCCTGAATGCCGTCTTCGGGATATCTTCTTCTTTCATCCTAATCTGATACCCGGATTTAAGATCTAGTTTGCTGAACACCTTAGATCCTCCTACTTCGTCCAACAGCTCTTCCACCACTGGTATAGGGAACCTATCAGGGACAGTAATTTTGTTCAAAGCCCGGTAGTCCACACAAACTCTCCAGCTACCATCTTTCTTTTTTACCAAAATTACGGGGCTGGAATACGGACTAATACTTGGACAGATCATCCCATCATTCAATAATTCAGCAACCAATTCCTCAATTTTCGTCTTCTGATAGTAAGGATACCGGTAAGGACGAATGTTAGGCACCTGGCTCCATGTTTTCAGAGTGATTGTATGATCCCTGGTGCGTTGTGGTGGCACCCCTTGCACCTTTCTGAAAACATATGCAAATTCCTCAACCAAGTCCTCAAGCTCCTTCCAGCCAGTAGGAAAAAATTCATTCTCCCTCATGGTCTTTTCGCTTACCTCTTCGTTGTCAATATAATACCCCTGACCCGTTTGTAATAACGCCTTGGACATGGATTTAAACGAAGAAATGGTGCGAGAAAGAGAAGGGTCACCTTTAATAATTGCCTCCTTGCCCTGCGTCTCATATCTGAGCGTCATCTCTCGGAAGTTTGCTCTAATCTCTCCCAGTTCCCTCAACCAGTCCATTCCCAGCACGATGTCAGCCCCTCCCAGCTCAAACATGTACAGATCTTGTATAATCCTCTGATTTTGAATCCCTATATCCACCTTCCTACAAACCCCACTGCAATCTACCTTGTGTCCATCCCCCACCTCAACTCGGTATAAAGGTGTCTTCTCCACCTTCCATTTCAAACGCTGAACCACCTCAGCCTTTACAAAGTTGCTGGAGGCGCCACAATCAATGAGCACCACTAGCTTCTCGTTACCCACTGTACCCCAGACTTTCATAGATTGGTTCGAGGTGAACCCAAGCATGCTCTGTAGGGTTAATTGCAGAGCCCGGTCCTCATCGCTGCGAACCTGCTCCAGGACGGCTTCGGCTTCCACCTTCACCGCGTCACCTTCGTCCCCTCCTCTATCATCGAGGATTAAGAGGTGGAATTTCTTCCCTGCGCACTTGTGCCCGGGGTGCCATTTATCCTCGCAACGAAAACATAACCCCTTGCTCCGACGATCTGATGCCTCTTCGTTAGAAATCTGTCTGAAGCTACTACCCTAACTCTCTTCTCTTCGATTTGCGGCTGAGTTTCCAGAAGCCGCCATAGTTACTCCTCCACGAGTTAGGGCATTCGAGTTATTGCTTTCAACGACATTACCCTTGCCCCATTCTGAAGTGTTATTTTTTAATGGGTTGAATTTTCCCAATCCAGGCTTAACGTAATTACTAATATTTTTGTAAGGCCCATTAGCATGTTTCGGCCCAAAGTACCCCACACCTTCCTCAGTCCAGGCCAAATTTCGTTGATCTATTTTTTTGGCCCAATTTCATCATTGCCGCTAACCTCAGCCCAGGAGTCATCAAGACTTCTTCCCTGATGCTAGGCTTAAGACCACTCAGCCACGCGCCCTTCAGCACCTCCTCGTCTGCATATCTCATGGTGCCCACCACCGCCTCAAACTCCGCGCGAAAATCCGCCACCGTGCCGTTTTGTTTCAGCGAGTAAAGTGGCCCATATGGGTTGTCTAACATCTCTGGTTGAAATCTACATAATATTTCGCTGTGGAATTGGGTCCACGTCGCCGACGGATTGTCCAACTCCCACCACTGATACCAACTCAGAGCTTCACCATCGAGGACCAACATCACGGCTGGTACCTTCTCTTCATCTTCCATTTCATTCACCTGAAAGTAACGTTCCACCTTACTCAACCACGCGTAAGCATTGGGTCCAGAAAACATAGGAATTTCAAGTTTACGTCCTCGCGGGTCCCCATGATTCATTCCTCGGTGACTTCCATGGGATCCTTCAGACCCATGCCTTCTTCCTTCTCGGTTCTCGTTGTTTCTGACCATTCGAAATTCTTCCGATCAGAGTTGATTCAATCCAGCGCCCAGCTCTCTTAACTGTCGTATGATTTCCGCTTGATTCGCGTCGTTAGAATCCATGCGACGTATTAATTCTTCCTGACCTTGTTCACTACGAGCTAACCTTTCTTCAATTCCTTCCATGCTTCTCGTCCAGACCATAACCCATCGCCCAGAATGAGCTTTGATACCAAATTGTTACAATCAATTAATCAGAATGCAATATGTATCAAATTAACCTCTGTATATTTAAGATTTCTTACGGTTCAATGAACAGAACAGACTTGCATTACATGGTTCTCCATAGTACTGCTATGGATCAGAGTTTACAGTAATGAAAATATGAAAACAATACAAGATAATAAAAGCAATACTCAGGGACATTCGAGACGCCCTGTAAATCTCCCAATACTCTCCAATTAAGAATGACCTCCTTGGTAACGTTTTCCCTCACTTCCATGCGTATAAGAGCTATCACAACTAACTCGTAATGCGTTGTCCCTCATCCTCCGCTAATAGAATCTCTGAGTCATCAATAACAGAATGAGTGGGAGCAATCCAGTGTTTTCTACCTTTGTCTCTCACATATACCTTATTCAGTTGGGCCTTGCGCAATTGGGCCCTATCAGAATATCCTCCAACATCAGGTAACCCTAGCTAGTAGCTACTGTATCTAACAATATCAATTAACTCTATTTATTATATCTAACGATATCAATTAATATCAGGTAACTCTATTTACTATATCTAATAATATCAATTAACTCTAACTACTATTATTAATAGGCTTAGCTCAACTAGATCATTGGGCCCATCCTTATTTCTTCTCACATATACCTTCTTAATTGGGGCCTGCTATTAACAAGGTTGTGCCCAAAGACTTGCTTTTGGAGATTAGTTTATGACTTTTTTTTTTCTTTGGTATAAATCTATTTATGCTGGTGTGCTACTTATCATCTTCTATTTCATTCTACTTGGCAGCCACAGCAGAAAGATGTAATGAAGGCACTTCCCAAACCATTGCCTGCATCTATGGTGGCCGGTTATATGTCAAATAAGAAAGATGAAGAAAAAGACGATGATGAACATGAAGAGGTTAGAATCTTTGGTTAACTGCCTATATTTAAGCAATGAAATGATTTATGCAAAGGCAAGCATTATTTACATGCCAATTAGCCATTTCTTTAACAACACTCGTCTATATGATACTGCAGTTCTGTGCAGTTGAGTAATGTTTTTGTTGAAACAGAAGTTCTTTCACTTCAATTCTATATCAAGACTTTGATTCTGTTAATCGTTATCTGTTGAGTTATGCTCGTCTCTGCTATCAGAATGAGGAGTCTGTTGAGCTCTTGTCACCGCAAGATCTACTGAAGAAACATATTAAACGTGCTAAAAAGGTTAGAGCACGGTAAGTTCACCTTCTGGGTTTTTATTCATCATCTTAGGACTTGTCTGTCAGTACGTTGCATGACTGAGATGACATTATGCTCATGTAACATACATTTAACTACAGAAGGTTGTATACGAACCATCCAGGTTCTGTGATTCCCTATTATGGCAATTGTTAATCATTCTATTTCTCAAGTTTGGCAGTGAACTCAAGAAGATTTTGCTGTTGAGTTTTGTGATGTATTTATATCATTACGATTAACACATTTTAAAGCTGATTACTCGATAGTCATAACTTATTTGCAATCATCTGCTCTCAACTGGCAGTTTTAAATGTTTTGAAAAATATTCTAAATATTATCTTTTGATGATCAATGTACAGAATGTATTTACATTATATAGATCTATATCGATAATTACTTACCTAAAATGGAACTAAATCTAAGGAAAAAATTAGGAAACAGATCTGTCGTAATGATAACCGAAAACCCATCTGCAATAGTTACATAATTATTCCTTTTATATTTTCAACACTCCCTTTCAAGCTAGTAAATAGATATTTATCATTTCCGACTTACTCGTAAGGTCTTGAAACCTCTCTATGGGCAGCCCTTTAGTCAATACGTCTGCCAACCAAAGTTCGGAAGGAATATATGGAGTAGTAATCAGCCCATATCCAATTTCTTCTTGATGAAGTGATAATTGATCTCAATGTGTTTTGTTAAATCATACTGAACTGAATTTTGAACAATGGTAATAGCAGATTTATTATCACAAAACAACTTCATAGGATTTATGCTAGGAGGTAATGAAGACCATAGTTAACTCCTCAGCAGGGCATTTCAGATTTTCTCCCTTTGAGCCTCCATTAGAGTAATGGCTGCCATTTTTGTGATAGAAACATTCGGTTTGTTCATTTGGGTAGAGTGTAGTATGGTGCTCTAGGGATGTTCTTTTCAGCAAATCTTAAAACTTTATGGTTTTATACAACATATAGTCTTAGGATAAAGATTAATTCAGGATTGAATGAATGTAACGTTGTCATACTTACTGTCTTATGCTGCTTGTAGATTAAGGGAACAAAGGTTACAACGTATCACAAGGTACAGAAGTAGGCTTAAGCTTTTGCTTTCTCCACCTGTTGAACAGTTCAGAAATGACACAGCTGCTGGGAACAGACCTTGCTGACACTACAGACATCAAGGTTTGGATTACTCTTACAGGCTTGCTGTTAATTTAATTTTTTATGCTTGTGGTTCATTCAAGAGTGCAGACAACTGGTGGTGGAACTGATAAATCTGTTAACGAGTTGATGATATATTTACTGTAGGGGAAATTTGCTTCTGTACATTATACTCCAACAAGAAGATATGAGGCCCCATTGTAGGAAACGAATTTAAAGGTCTATATGAAAATGTATGTAGATATTTTAACTGTTCTTTTGAATTTCTATTATGAGTGCGCCTTGACCAGTAAATTAGTACCAACATGGCTTTCAATAAATAGCAGTGAATCAGAAATCACTGCATTCCTAGAGCTGTATTATTTCCTCTTGAGAACTGAAAAGATGGGTATGCCAACTCAGATAGGATGAGTCCGTTTCTCCCTGGATGATTGCAAAGACACAAAAAAGAAAAAGAAAAAAGAAAAGAAAAGAAAAGAAAAGAGAGGATTACAATTTTTTTAGTATAAGCATTTAGAGATGGCGCTTAGCTTCCAAACGCTCTGATGAATTAATCACCCTTTTTTGGTCAATTTGTCAAATTGGTTTTCTTGTTATACATGATATTCCAATCTTGCTTCTGTTTGTGAGAGAGTGTAAATCATTGTTGTATGGACTAAGCTGGCCTAGCTGGTACGACCATAAAATTCAGGACCTAACCCCGAGCCGGCCTGGTCCTTGGTTATGATGGTTCTTCGAAATGAATCAAGCAACTTATAGGATTTGAAGATAGTTCATGGATGACCTTGGTGATGAAGAGTCTTCTATAATTAGGCCACCCGATTTTATTCAGTAATGTTTTTAGTGTTTTATTTTATAATATTGCATAACTAATTCAATTTACAAACAATGACGCGAACTATTACCAGAGTTAGTTTGAACTATTACCGGATTTAGTTTTGTTAGTTTGCATATACATATTGGTAATTTTTCATATGGAGTTTCATATACTATTTTTTTATGGTTCAGATCATTATACACTAATATAAATTACAGTTTTAATTTTAGTTATTGATTATATTTATATTTAACAGCTTTGGTTTATTAGAAATGTAAATTATTAGATGCCAGTCATCAATGACTAAGATTGTGTATAAGACTTTTTATTCTTACATAACTATAATAAGTGTAAGTTGATACTGCCTCTGTATATATGTAACAATTTATTCATGTACTTTTTATATATTAGGTATTTTTTTCATATATTATTTTTTTAAAATTTTCTTTGTTTAGTTTTTTGCATTGTTTTAAAACCCCGCCTGGACCCTTGGGTCAACTCTGATCCCTTCTCTCTGACTGTTGGGGTCAGAGTTTAGACCCTGCATGCACGTTGACCTCTTTGACTTCTGAAACACGGTCGGGTCTCGATGACTCCTGGGTCATAGGGGGTCACTGCATTTTTTTGTTTTTTGTTTTCAAAATTTTCACAAGAAACGATATCATTTTGTGGGAAAAAATATTGTTGCTAACCTAAATCCGAAAGTGAAGAACAAAATCAAATCTTCTCTCCCAGATGTCTTCACCTCGGTGGTTTCTCCCCTCTCCTCCGCTTTGCCGTGGTGGTTCCTCTTCCTCTCCTCCGTGGCTCTGTTTTTTCGGTCTTCCCTCTTCGTCGCGTCGCCTCCTCTCCTCCGCTATGGTGATTCTTCTCTTCACTAATCTACTCTTTTTCTTGGTTGGTTTCTCTGCTCTGAGCATGTATGGTATTATTGTATTATTGAGCAATAGGGTTTAAAGCTTTCTTTGACCCTGATATATTTACTCTCATGTCAAGAAGATAGTATATAAAAAGGATGCAAACTAAGACTTTTAAATTGTATTATTGTAGATGACTTGAATTTAGATGAGGATGATGACGTAGATGATAACCTCATAATGCCATTATACCCCAAAATGAAAGTAATGTTCCTCAAGGTTTGGGCAGTAATGGTTGAGAAGAACAATGAGGGCTTGAGTTTGATGATATAACTCTTCATTAACTCCATTGGAATGTGTTTTATACGTTGGTATTTTGGTACTTTGATTAGCTTGTATAATATCAACTTATGGAGGTAATTGGTTAAATTATGTTAAGTATATTTTGGAATCTTTGATGATTGGTTGTTGAATTTTTTTTTTTTCATATAGGATATATATTTAATTTTTTTAATATATAAAATAGGGTCAGCAAAGTGACCCCGTGATTAAGAGTGTTCATCAACCGATCCAAATTGATTCAAATCGCGGTGACCGAATCGAAAAATTGATAGCTGAATTAATCGAAAACTGAAAAATAAAAAAGCGAAAAAAACCTGCATATTTTAATTGAATTGTATTAGTTTTCGGTTTAGTTGTCAAAAACTGATCCAATGTATTATGTATGTATTATTTTTGAAAGATGATGACTTGGAATCTTGGATGTTATTGATACACAATATCTCGTTTTAGTTTTTTAGTATCTATTAATTTATTTTAACTCTTCATGATTTTTAAGACTTGTTTTAGTTCGGAGACTTGAATTTTTCAGTGGTTTGTAACTTTAAATGATTTGATTTTGATATAGCTAGTGATTTGTATGGTTGAAATTTTAGGCTTTTCGAAAAACTAAAATTCGTTGCAATCCAAACTGAATAAAATTGAATTGGATTGGATTTAAAAAAAATCCAAATCGAATGAATAATTAAATGATCAAACTGAAAGAATTGGATCAGATGATTTTTGTTTCAAAACCAACACCCTTACTCATGACCTCTGATCTCAACCTAGTCGGTAGCCGAGCTGAATTTTTAACTTGGTAACTCGACCTTTTTGGCCAAATTTATCTTTAGTCAGCGCATTACATTTATGTTGTAAAGCTCCTATGCTTGTTCAAACACCATTGCATCTAATGCATGCAAATACTTTTTCAAAAAGTTACTTTTCCATATACAGAATTATTTTCTTTGGAAGTTGGTGTATTATGACAAGGATTTTATGATCTTTCAAGTCTAAGAAAGTAAATATTTGTATATATTATTCATTTAATTTAAATTACTTCTTGATCTCAATATATATAGATTGATAGAAAGGAAAGGAGTGGAGGAGAATAAAATAGTGGTATTAATTATCATTGTTATTATTTAAAATAGGATGGTTGGAATTAAAAGTAATTAAATATATATCTCACCTCATTCGATTTAATACATCCATTTTTTCCTCCCAAATTTGTGGATATGAGATAACATTAACTTATTGCTTATTAATATTCTTAATATTTCATTTTTTTTTTTTTGGTGAGCTCATTTTCTTTTTTTAATAATGAATGGAAACTTTTCTCCATTCTATAATAAAATATTCAAATAATAGTAATAAATTTAGTTCCATTCTATTCCATTTCAACATACATCCAGTGTACTGAGCCAAACAACATTAAAATTGACATAAATGTTTGTGCGATATATTTATAATCAAAATTAATGATATATTTCAATTGATTAATTCACTGCATAACTGTGTACTTTAGGAAAAAATTTAGAATGGTCTAGCTCAGTAAGAGACGAACACTTGAAATGAATTTCTTTTTCCCTCTAAGTTCTCAGAGGGTCAATGATGAGTTTTGATTGGTCCGTCCCACTGAGTTAACATGGGTCTGAACCACAAAAAATCTTCTCGTACTCGTGGTATATATAAGAATTTCATGACCTATGGGCTGATTTTTCATGAAATAAATAATTGTGAATATATTTAATATATTTATCTTCGGCGGATTTCTTTTATGATGAATAAGTTGTACAAAACTTGTGTATAAAATGATGCTTGTGAGAAGAAATAAAATATTTTAGAGCCTATTCGTTTCAGGTGTAGGTAACCGCAAAACGAAAGTATGACAAAAGAAAATAAAAAGTTTTCATAAGACATGTTTTCATAGTTGCGTTAAGGAAGATCTTATCCAAACATTATGTTAGTTTAGTTGTATGGAGTAAATTGCAAATCAATTGAGCTTGACAAATCAAATCTGGGTTCAACCCCAAATCATCCATAGCTCAATGACCTTATTTTTAGAGCAATTTTTATCTGATCTGAGAATAAATATTTTTCTTGTTTTATACCATGAAATTCGTATTAATTTAGCTAGATGGGTTATTATTATTTCTCACTTTAATTTCATTTTCATGATATATATAAGGTGATCCTCGTTAAATGGTATAAAATTAAAGAATTCTCATTCTGCACCTAAGAATTTCTTCTTTGATTTTTTTGGCTCTAGAAATGAATACATGTTCAAATAATTTTAGTTTCCCTTGTGAGAACTTAATGGGATGAGATATTGTTACTATCAAATAATGTTACTGTCAAAGTTACTACTATATCTTAATCGTTGATTTTCATCAATCAATGGTTATTATTTTCACAAATCAAATTCATTAATTAATTATTAATTTGTAATAAATCATAACTGTTGATTGATAGAAATCAACGATTAAGATATGGTAGTAACATTATTTGATACTAACAATATTCTATCCCAAACTTAATAGGGCTTCTTTTTGCATTCATAAAGCATATACTTTATTGAGGTAGTTAGTGAGAATCCAATTCTCATTATTGACCAGGAACACAACCAACTTTTGTTTATTTTTATTTTGTAATTTCACAATGATTCAGCATTTCTCCGCCTTGACATGATTTGATCAAATTTTTATGGGCATTGGACGAATTTTCTATCAAACCCAAAATTAAATAGACCATTTTAAGTGCTGGACTAAACAGCAGAAACAAAAAATGAATAAGAAAATTGTTGGAATGTATAAACAATAAAATGTGTAGTTTGATAAGACATTGGCACAACACAAAGACACACCACCACCAAAGTTTTTATCTAATATTAAACACGAGTCTCATGCTTTAATTGGTCATAAATCATAATAATTATAATTATTATACTAATCATATGCTAAAAAAAAACACCATCATAATCCAACCACTACCATTTGAATTTTGATTAATTGTCATGTTTATTGCTGTCTGCTTTAATCTAAATTCAACTCTGATGAATCATTTTTGTCCCCTCCTTTGAAGTTTTCTTCTAAGATTCAAAGGATAAGCATAAGATTTGAAAGGTGTCTGACTCAAAAAGTTTATTTATTTATTTATTTATTTATTGGTCATTTTCCATATCTCAACGCTTGGCTGTATCCATTCCTTCATTGCCCATCAAATTACATGATTGCTATTTGCGTGTTGAAGATGGAAGCTAAACCACGCCATTGAGTGCGGTACCCCAAAACATGCGTTCATCACGTCATTTGTTTTTGTTGTTATTTATTAGTCGTGGTTATTTAGATTGTTCA